ACTATGAATATTTTTACTGTATTGTTATCATAAGTATTCTTGGCAGTTATAAAAAAGTCCCAAACTTGATATTCTCTACTAGTATACAGGATGGTCCTAATTAGATTTGGGAAAGTTTGACAGCATATTCTGCAGATAAAAATAAGTAAAAAAGTCCGTACAAATTTATGTTCTATAATGATTTGTTTCGGAGATTTTTTTTCAAATAATTTCTGAACTATAGTCCATATTGGGAAGAAAATTGGTGTCAGGGACTTTTTTTGACATGAAAAATTTGATTTCGATATCAACATGACTCTTTCTTGTAGGGGCGCCACTTAATTATTTTAACCAGTGAAAAAATATACATTTCCGCCATATTTTACGTAAAAAAATCTCTTGGTAAAAATGGATACGAGTAATGGTTCTCAAGATATTGGAATAGAAATAATCAATACAGGTCATTACTGACAAAAATTAAATATGTTTAAATAATAAATAAATTAATAAATTTGAAATGTTTTTGTGCTACAGGTTCAACACAAACTGTTTTATCATTATTTTATCTAGAAAAAAATTATGATTAATGAAAAAAATAGAAAGTTCCCAAATTTATCATTTCAGTTAAATAACTATCTAGATAACATGTTTATTTTTTGTCAGTAATAACATGTATTGACTATTTCCATTTCAAATATCTTGAGCCCGGTTACCCATAGTAATTTTTAACAAGATAACTTTTTCAGGTAGAAAATTATGGAAATATAGTATATTTTTTCACTCAGTAGTTTTATACGCAATTACTGCCGAAGGTTTCCGAATACAAATCGGACCACCCTGTATACTAATTAAAATTGAAGTAAGGATTATAATAATGTACTCTATTTTTAACATACTGTGTAATTAATATGTTATATCTTATATCAAACATTGTATATTATAGTTTTTGTCGATTTGTATATTCTGGTTAAAAAAAACACATCTATTGACAAAAAACGCTAAAATGTATATAGTATCTGTTTAATAAATGTCTCCTGAAATCTAGAAACTAATTTCAACTTTAAAACTAAATTATTAGTGCGAGAAATTGATGCTGGCGGTTTAAAATACGTGTGAACTTTAAACTAAACACAAACTTTCAAAAGTGACGTTTAGAATAATTTCCAGAAACATTCCTTTGGTTACCTTTCATTAAAATATTTTTACACTCCTCTTTTATATGTTAAGTTTAAATACCTATGTCTTTATTAAACATCATAAGCGCTGTTCCATAAAACTGCGCTTATGATATTGTCAGAAAGAAACATTTATTTTTATTTTTACTGCTTTATTATTTAAAATAGATATTATTTTTATATCTCTTTTTATGGTTTCTGTTTAAATGTCATGTACAGAGCGAGGCATTTAAACTGAGGGCAATTATTCTAAGAGTAGGGATTCTTAAAGTAAATTCTTCTGTAAGAATACCGTATACAAATTTATGTACTAAAATAAGTGGATTACTTACCTTATTTGATGCCGGTATATATTTACAGGTGCCCGGTGGCGTAGAGGTACAGGCTCTCGTCTACCAATCTCAAGGTGTGGGTTCGATTCCCACACCCGGCATTTCATCAGCCGACTATTTTTATTAAAATAAATATAGTTTGGGTACCTAGGTCGACTCAGCCTTAAATGAGTACTTGGGATTCACAATCCTGAGGTAATAATAGACAGTTGAAGCGTAGTGCTAGCCACATTACCTTCCTTGTATACCGAACGGCTCTAGTATAGCAAGCTGTGCCTTGCTACTCCCAAGGCGTTAAACGCTATATACGGGAGCTATTATTATTATTAAATATTTACAGGCTTGGTGCATTTCAACCAATGTTTTAAAAAGTTTCATTAGCTTGAATAATAAATTATAATACAAGTTAGACCTTTTTTGAAGATTCCAAAATATTTATCTTTTTATTTTTATTTTAGAATTTTTACAAATTATACTTCCCAATAGTTTTAGAATATTGCCAAGTCTATACATGTGTCAACTTGACTTTTGAGTTAGACATATATTTCATTAGTCTAGACACGGTTTATTTTTACAGTGAAACTTCTTAATGCACGATAGGATTAAAAATTGAAGGCTGTGACACACGAGACGCGAAACGCGAGAGGAAAAGTGGTAACGATTAGAGATTACAACGGAGCGTCGTAACTCGGGTCCTATGTGATCTAGGGAGCTTAAACTCGGAGTGTAGATGTGGCTCGCACCTTTTCTTGATATTTTGACGTTTCGTGCACTACGAAACTCCATCATCAATGAATCAAATAAAAAACTCGTCCGAAATTTGGTGGGTAGGTTATGTGAGCGACGGTGCACACGGTCCCACCCTGCAAAGTTGGATACGACGTTTCGTTTATATCTTCATCAGTGTGGGACTAACGATTTGATATTGAAGAAAAATGTAGGTCGATTTTGGCATAATTGGGGACGGGCTACAGGATGACGCCCTCGACGTTTCGAACCGATGCCTCTAAATGGACAAAATCATCATGATTTTTCTTAATTATGGGTGATTGGAACCAAACTAGGCACGTGGATAGAGGTACCCGAATGGAGTGCTCAGACGGACAGACGGACAGATGGGCAGACGACAGCCAGACAAACGGAAGTAAGAAGAAGTTTCACTTCAAATATGCGCACATAGTGCCCACACAATTTTTTTAGTATCATTTTCTAAGAGTATATTGTTGTATTTCTTTGGGATTTTATGAATAAAACACCATCTAATTTTCTTTTAACGATATATTTTAACATAAAGATGGATTACAATCTGCTCTTATCTAAAATACATCAATAAAATGAACATGAAAATGATAAAATTCTAAGGCTAATACAGACCTCAGTAACAGCAGAATTTGTTTGAAATATGAACGATGCAACTGTTTTTTTTTTCTTTTCTTTACACCACATATTAATTATTTTAAAAATAAAAATGTCAACCATAACGTATACATACAATAATAGAAACAATTGTTTTAGATAATGAACTTTAGTAGTGTACAGCGATAGTTTTTGTACAGCTTGGTTATTCTCATTTTGATAAAATCACGATTCTCTCTTTACTTGTCTAACTACATTACTTAAATTGTTAGCTTATTATAGAATTCACATTATAAGCATCCCTGTTAAAAACACGTTAGATATTTTCAAATTTATTTACAAACTGAACGGTTAAAATTGTAATACTTTGTATTCTTTTTTAAAACAAGGTTTTCTCTCCAGTAATAGTATACATGTAAACAATCATTATTATTTGGTATGAGTGTAGTACAGTAAATACCTTTCCATGATTATTATGGTAGACTCTTATAACTAATACTTTATTTCTTTCTATCAAAATGCATAGGTATTATTTTTTTATTCATTTGGACTAATGAAATTATTTGTACATCTTTTCAAAATGCAATGTCATGAAGATTGTATTTTTTTCTAGACTCATCACCACTAAAACTTAAAGTCTTTGTAAAATTTGTAGGAACCCCACAAGAGATTATTTATAATGACATCACTTTACGCACTCCCTTTACTAGTCGGAAACCATTTTAATTGTGACGCCAAATATTATGAAATTATATTTATACAGACTGCCTAATTCGATGTGCCTGTTGACAATAATTAGGGTTGGTGTTATATGTTGGTAGGAATTAACCCCATGTTTACACAAATCTGATTTGCTGAGAGCCTAAATTAATTTAATTTGCAGAAATGTCAATCAGTGTCGATATAACGCTGTAGCTGACTTACCACCTATTTTGTAAGTGTGTAGTCTGATATCTTCCATCGTTTAAACACATTCTTTTTTTTGTGTATTCTATAAAATGAGATATACACTGTAGATTATTGTAGATTAAAATAAACTTCACCTTCTTAAAATGAACATTAATTAAATACTTTGTGTTTATATCGACGTCATGCAGATCTGAATTTAAATTTGCTATTATAAGACCCGGTAAACTTCCTGTTTATTTTGTTATGCAAAATCTTTTAGGACAACAAAAAACTTTTAAAAAACTACTTTTAAGATTTTTGCCACGCTAAAAAAATAATTAGGGCTATATCAGATTTTGCATAAAGAATTGCATACAACCTGTACTGACTGAATAGAGACTGCTTTTAAACATTAAAACTGGTCGTTTGCCTAATAAAAGGAAATTGGTATTTCTGCAGGCTAGGGAAAATCTAATGCATAATTATATACTTTATGGCTCTGAAAGTGCTACAATGTTTTTAATCTTTAATTAAAGTTTTACTTTCTGGAAAAAACATCAGTGCTTTGGATGTTACGATACCTGGTGAGGTACGTACAGACTCTTCAATTGTGATTTAACTATTATTTCACCGTGTTTTCCAAAGAAAAAATGATATCAGAATAGTCATAGAAATAGAATTACGGTTTAACTTTACTATGCTTTTTGCTAAAATACTTGATATAACAAGTAATATAAAAAGTAATTTCAGAAACTGTAGTAGTATTTTATGTTTAAAAATGACACGAACAAAGGCTTTATTTATTTGATATGATTAAACATTTCTTATCTAATTATAGAATCTGACTGATCTAAATGAAAAATGGCCCCCAAACAGCATCCAGTTAATTTACAATTTTAAGGAATGTCCATATTTCAGAGCAACCGTCTTTTAGAGTTAGCCTATTAGACTAAAGCCACAGCTTCAAAAGCTTTATCTCTTGTTAATTTAGTTTTGAATAATTAAAAACCACCAATAGAGAAACCGCACAAGGAAGTTGAATTTTATTTACTTTAATGGAGTGCATTTTGCTTTCTATTTGTTTTATTCAGTTTTTAAATTGAATATTAGTATATTACAGATACTATAAAAAAAATTTTCTTTTAGAAATTTTGCGAAAACCGATTTATTGTTTTATAACAAACGTTCGTCTGTATTTATCTTAGAAATTGATCATCTAAGTGTACTGAAGTCATTTTAAATACAGTTGAGTGTAATCCTTTGTCTAGACTTAGCAATCAAAGTGAGGCTTCCCCGGTCCTAAAATAATTGACTTAGGTCTTAGCTTATCTATCATTTAATAGGTGAAACAACACAGCTAAAGGAAATTAAATATCTCAAACACCCTCCACATCTATAGATTATAGAAAAAAGCTATGCACGTTTTATAGTTTTTTTATTCTTTTAGATCTGCAATTTTTATGTTGTTTAACTAAAAAGCAACGTCGCAGTAGGCTTGGAAATATTATTTTAGTTCGAGCTTTACCGTGCCTATCTCTGAAGTTTTGACGTTTAACAGAACAACAATGTTTATATATGACGCCGTTTTTATCAGATTACCTTTTACATTTTTTACAGAGTTTAATAAATATGCTATTAAATAAATAAAAAATCTTAATTTTTAAAAATCGCTAAGACCTTATTAATTTTTTCGAAGAAGCCAAGAAAACATAAAAAGTGTCTTGTATTTAGAAGCTAATTTATTTTTTTACTCCATTAAATAGGCACACAAAATTAGATATTGATCCATTCATTATATAATAGACCTGACTTTTGATTTGGAACAGAGCATTGAATACAGCAACATCAAATCTCCTGTCTAGACTTACTAATTATACTAAGAATTATTTTGTTATCATGTAATTGAGTTATCTTACTGGCTGATTGGTCATCATTTAATTACATAAATACCACTTCTTTCTGAAATTACTTATGGATAAAAGGGATAGGGTCTAGTGGTGTAAAAATGGAGACATTTTTCAAAAATGGTTTTTTTCATAGTTACCACCGTTTAAATACTAAAGTTTTTTTTTATTATAAAAGGCATATGGAGGTAACGAAACTATTGCAAAAGTAAACCTAAAGAAGTCACTATGCAGAAAAGAAAACACAAAAATTAAACAAATTATGGGGATGATCTGCTAACAATTATTGTTAAATGTTCCTAACAAGAAAACTGGCTGAATATTTTGTTAAGTTTTTAGTAGTTTAATTTGAATGTCTCATTTTTTCCCTAAATATGGCATGTCTCATTTTTACATCACTTGACCCTCCTACAGGAATGGAAGAAATCTTTATGGTTATCTAACATCGTGATAAAAAAGGGTCTACATTAAACCCATTATAAGTTAATATTTCATTTTATTGATTTACGATTAACATTATCAGAAAATGGAATGAACGTCTTAGGATACAGCGATCTGGCTTTTTAACCCTGTTTGTAAACGATACCAGAATGCCTGTTTGGATATTATTTTATAATGGTTTTCTCTCGTTTTATTTGATTTTTGAATTGCTAAACCGAATTGTTTTCAATTACTGTTCGATGTTAATATTTTCTTTATACAAATTCGACTAAAATTTAAACAAATTTTATAAAAGAAATAAGAAGAGATATAAGTATAATGATTTCCATTTTCATTGTTTGTTTATGAAACCTATAGTCTACACACACTAAACTTATTAAAAATTATATGTTATATTAGAAATCATTTTTGTAAATAAACTTTGTGAGGAAATTCTTAATCTTTAGGCTAGACGATTTTTATTATAAGATATAATAATAAAAAATTAAATAGCTTTTATAAAAGAAATAAGAAGAGTTAATATAAATGATTTTTTTATTTTGAATTTTGAGATGCGTTGAACTAGATATAGTTTTTCCGAAGTCATTGGAACACTTAATTTTGGCACTGTCTTTGTGGTCGCCATTGTCGGCATCTTCTGAACAAACGAATTAGAGTCTCAGTCATTTCCATTAGTTAAAGTTGTACCCTGATTTGTTAGCTTCATTTTAAAGCAAAATCGGTTTGCAACTAACTGCAACTTTTATTGATTGCAATGCTGCGATTAAAAATTATACCATTTTTTTGTGCAATTTAATCATAAATAATATATTTTTACGGGATTTTTTGAAAACAGTAATAACAATAATTATGAATATTTTAAGAGCATTATAGAATAATTGTAATAAAACTGTTGCAGTCGTAATAAAAGTTCGAAATTAATTAAGCCTCTAATCTTTAAGCCTAATTCAGCCTCTAATCTTTTCTGAATTCTGGCAAATTTGGCTTCTTGCTTCTAGCCTAGTGTATATTTCTTTTTTAATGAATATCGAATTTACCAGTCCTTGAAGATAATTTACCAGTAATACTATACCGCGTTTTTAGCACATTTAACGTGACTGAAAATAGTTACGTGTTAATATAATTAATTAAAATTCGTATATCCATAAAATTATTAATCCGTAGTTTTTCAATTGTCTGTTTATAAATACATTCATCTATTATGTCGGTTCTGTGGAGTGATGGGACGATAACATAATTAAATGATAAATGTCTAAAATAAATAACCTCAACAATATTGGAAATTTATAATGAGGCAGTTGAGTATATGAATAAACTGAACGTATCTTGCATGCGTTTGCATGCATATAGAACTTTAGCATATTGGTTTATCATCTATTCAGTGAATGTATAATACAAAACATTTAATATTCCAAACGCTGCCAGATGCAACGTTAAAATATCTGAAATGGCGCCGCTTTTGCGATATGCAAGTGAGCGCTGCTTTATTTGTATCATAAAAGTATGCTTTAGAAGTAATTTGCGTTACAAATTCACTGCGACTAATGAAGTTTGTATTCATTCGTTCCATTCTGTTGCGCCTTCATTTTTTTCCTCTGCAAATTTAAAAAAGATGTACATTTCGTTTACCCTTGCATTTTGATTGAAATTTTGTCCAGTTCTAAACTGTTCTGTCTTTTTAAATACCTATCAGTTACAAATTCATTATTTGTTTTATAAAATCTATTTTAGAAATAAAACAGCTTTTGACGTCAACGTAAAAGTAACACAAAGGGAGCAAATTTGAATTTGACAAATCATTACGACGATATCTGAATCTTATCCTAATATTTACAAGTAAGTTTTTTTATAAACCCCCTAACTAGCACCTATTTATAATTATTAAATTAGGTATTTAAAATATTAACGTATCGTATTATCGGATGAAAACCACATCACAGTTGGCATTGAAATTACATTTCAATTTTCATATGTCTGTCGTTGAAGTTCATTAAATGTAATTAAATTAAAATATTTTTTCTATGCCTGCTCTGTCGTCGTTTTTATTTGATCAAACATTATTTCTTCAATGCAAATCAACAGTTTAGTGACAAAATAAAAATGTATTACTTTGAGCCCTTTGTGTCGCAATAGAAAACAACCCTTAAATTAGTCAATTACTTCCCTAATATTCTGACTGCATTTAAATTGACATTTATTGGTTAAAAATAACTAGAAAAAGTATTAAAGCATCAAAATATCGTTTGAGCAAATCAATTCAAATACAGTGAGAATTCTTTTCGAAGTAATATTTGGAAATTTCCGTTAACGGCAAAACCAAATTTAACATGCTAATACCTCACTGATTATGGCCAGCGTGAGAGCAACAGTAATGGCAAACCTGGGAGGTGTGCAAGCTGCTAATCCCAAACCAATTGATAAATGGGACCATCCAGGTATGGGCGATGCTGAATTTTTGCCGCGTTGCATTGCTGCCGGATGTTCACCTTTAAAGAAATTACGTATTTTATTCCAATATAAAACCAAACAAGAGAAATATTATATCGTATGCATTATTCAGCTACATAAAATGATTTACTATCTCACGACAGAAACAGTAACTATTGAAATTTTTCTACGGAACGATATTTTATTTAAACTGGCTTATATACAGGGTGGTTCAAACAACTCGGTATGTAACTGATTTAGATATGAGTATGAACTTGGAACATGACTAATGACCTATTAATTACTTTATACAGGGTGGCCCATCGAAAACGTTCCGCAAGACATAACGGCCAGGGTAATTTTTTTTTTCAGAAAATTCAAAAACACGTCAATTTTGTTTGTGATGGGGACAATTTTTGCCCTAAAAATGATCGCAAAATCTTCAACCCTCTAAGCGGGGGTGTCATTCCCCAATTTTTTTCAAATGGGAAGGGGGGTCAAGTGGTACCGCATTGAAAAGGACTTTCTATTCTCTATACTTTCCCGCTTCGTTTTTGAAAATCGGTCGAGCCATTGAGAAAATATGAAGGATTGAAATTTGAAAAGTTTATTTAAACATTTATCAGAGTAAATGATAAGGATAAATTCCTTCGACCAATTTGCTGTTTTTTTTTATTATTTCTAGATGTTTACGCATTTTTTCACTTGCCACAAGGATGAACGATCGGGTTAGGTAGAGTGTACTTTCTTTTTGAAAGGTGTAGTTAATCGGCACAACTGTCGGTACTGGGCTGAGGACAACCCCAGGGTTTTTCACGAGGTGCACACACAAAACCCTAAGAAATTGAACGTGTGGGCTGGTATTTTTAGAAATTCTATTGTAAGTCCTTTTTTCTTCCTGGAAATCTAACAGGTGATATGTACTTGGATTTACTGGAAAATACCATCGACCCAGCCCTAACTGACATCATAGAGAACAATCCTGGATACGTTGAAGCGGAACTAATATTTCAACAAGACGGTGCACCTCCACATTACTCTCAAAATGTGCGTAATTATTTAAACAATAACTTTCCCGTTCGGTGGATAGGACGAAGGGGTGCAATTGAGTGGCCTCCCCGGTCACCCGACTTGACTCCTTTAAACTTTTTTCTATGGGTACACATAAAAAGTAAAGTGTATAGCACTCCACCCGCCTCATTAGAAGACCTGCGAAGACGAATTATTGATGTTTGTTGCGAAGTGACTCCGCAAGTTCTTCACAATGTTCTAGAACGGGTTGAAAATAATTTGTATTACTGTATGGAGGTTGACGGGCAACATTTTCAGCATTTTTTTCATTAATAAGATAATTTTTTTTTAATTAATTCAATTTATGCGTTTTTTTGCAAAAAAAAGTACTTTTCAAATTTCAGTCTTTCATATTTTCAAAATGACTCGACCGATTTTTAAAAACGAAGCGGGGAAATATAGAGAATAGAAACCCCTTTTCATTGCGACGCCACTTGACCCCCCTTCCCATTTGAAAAAAGTTGGTGGATGACACCCCCGCTTAGAGGGTTGAAGATTTTGCAATTATTTTTGGGGCAAAAGTTGTCCCCCTTACAAACAAAATTGACGTGTTTTTGGATTTTTCGAAAAAAAAAAATATCCTGGCTGTTATGCCTTACGGAACGTTTTCGATGGGCCACCCTGTATAAGCAAATCATGCAAATGCTTTTCGGTGAATTTAGGTATTGACAACTTTGTACAAAAATTGCTTTTATTTTTATCCCTAAAGCCACGCCCTTTATTCATTATTAATGGCTGATATGCCTTAAAATTATATGAGGCAAAAATTTATTCGCAAGAAGCTGAAGGGGATCCTGATATCCTTATTATAAAAAAAGCTTATAAGTTTGCCTCATTAATTAAATTAATTTATTAACAGTAGTGGGAAAAGATATCAATCTTTTGGTGGTTTTGATTGTTCCGGATTGAATATGTAGTAATACACGGAAAATGGTAGTAGAATCGTAGAATTTTCTCATTTGAGCAAGATAAAGGACCAGTGTGGCTGAACCTCATTTTGAAGCCGACAAAACTGTATCCGATCATATACCTACTATTGATAATAGTACCTACTAGTGATTCTGCACGAAATAATTGTGAATAAGAAAAGTTTCTTAAATTCTTATAGAGAAATAAAACAACTGCTTGCAACTAAATAGTAATGTTTTCAAATATTACTTATGCCAGAACGAGACTGCCGAAGTTGGAATTCTATTTCTTATAACTCGATATACCGGGTGCTTCTCAAAAGTTGATCACCCCTATAACTTGTTTATTTTTTGAAATGAATAAACGAGATTTGGTATGTTACTATACGATATAAATTAGAATTAATTGACGTATTCTATTGTTTTTGGTCACAGTGTTTCACCGGAAATTACTACAACTTTTTATTTTTAAATAGCACCCCCGGTATATTTCTACTTTATGACATATGTCAATTTTTTACATTTTCGCATATAGTTTATTTGAAATTGTAAATGCGGTTCATATTTGACTCGAAATACCAAGTGTGTGGTACCTAGCAAATTATTCGTAAAATTGTGGTATATTCTTTTTCCAATTATGCTAATGAGCTGCCACTCTTTTTAACAGAGTCATGGTACTCTTGATTGGAATTTAAACTATAATATATATTTTTTTAAGCAAAAATGTCAAAAGTCCTAATTGATATCATATACTAACATACCAAATCTCGGGTTTTTTTATCTAAAAAATAAAAAAGTAATAGGGGTAAGTCACTTTCGAGGCGCTCTCGGTATAGAAAAAAACGACAACTGCAGACTAAAATTGAACGAAGCGAAGAATTTTGAAGTATCTTTAAGTGAACATTTATTGTTAAAGTAGCATAAATATGCTTAGTTGTAGTTAAAGTATAGTACTGAAAGAAACTATAATAAATATGTGAGGGGGCGCCAGATAGGGTACTCGCCCGGTCTTAACATTTTCCTTCCGCCGGCCCTGTGTATTACATAGACAGTTTCTACCAAAAAATGTATACTATTGGTTTAAAAATATCAGGCAGAATTGTTATAAATAATATAATTAAATAAACGTTGTTATTGAATGGCGTTACCATAACATGATATGTAAATGTGTGATATAAGAATATAACAAAAGCAATTCTAGCACCGTTATTTTCCGCTGAGGATTTATTATTATTTCGCAGTGTTAGAACGCAAATAAATTCCATTTTCATTTGACTTCGTACCTCCGAACCTATTTTAATATCACACACGTTACATGCCCTAGTTTTCCATTTTATGTTTATGAATCTTTCATTTGAACTTCGGAGATTGGCTCACGCGCTACAAAAGCACCAAAAAAAGTCGTCACCTGGAAACTTTCAGAACATCCCGACGATGTTGGAGTTTTAATTAATTTTGACAGGTAACATCGAGCCTGGTAGAGCACGTTAATAGAATTAATGAGAGCAAAATCCCATTCGAAGTGAAAAAATAAAATTCTTAATCTATTATGTTAATCCGGATTATAGCCGTCTAATATAGTTTTTCGCCATTTCCATCTAACGAAAACTTTTACAGCAGTTTAAAGTTTTTCGGGCTTACCTTTACATTAACATACTAGCTTTACTTATATGAAAACGAACTTTAAACTGTTCATTTCGTTGTTTCTAATTCAAACTGTTTTATGTTAATTTGAAAACTTTAACGTTGTTTTTCTTTGGCTAGGTTTACATTAGGATTTCTCTATGTTATTGAACGGAAAGTTCTTAGTACACAAGTCCAAGAGTTTATCGAAAAATTGAAAACAAAGTTAACAATGTGTTAAATGTGTTAGAATATTCTTGAAACTTTTTTTAAATGGTGTTAACGAGACATTCTTGGCCTTCATTAATTAACGGTTTTTATTATTCCATAATTTCTTTGTGTCCATGTCTTTAATAATCATACTCATGATGGCACTCTATTAGTTTTATCTTAACATTGAGCGGCGACACTTTGATCATACTCTATTCATTCTCAGTATTCAATGTCAATTACAATGTCAGAAAAAGTTGAAGGCTGTTCAGTGGATCTCAACCTGCGTTGATACTTGCGAAATTTACAGGTATCCGGAAATCAAGAGTTGCTATCATGGTTAAATCAAAAGTGGCTACTTTGATTAGGGTAGACTGGGTACGGTTGAAAAGATTTCGCTTTTCATGCCAGGGGCGGTTGAAACAGTGATTGGGGTCAATTGAAATGCATCCATTTTTAACGTTAATTTTAATTCTAAAAACAATAATTGCCAACATTAATTAGTCTTCAGTATTTGGTTTGGTCTATAAAGATAATTCTAATTAGTTTTTTTGACCACAAGAGTAAAAAAATGGGCAAAACAAGTAAGAAAATTACTTAATAGCCACAGGATTGTTTAAGACCAAGCTGCTAAATGAAGATAATTTGAAAGTAGAGCTCAGCTACTACTCTTTACTGTTTGATCCGTACCTAAAAATGTTTCAACCGTCCCCAAACCCTCCTTTGGTAAAAGTCAGTTTATAGTAATTGTAATAATAATAACACATTAAAACTAACCTTAATTTTGATTGATATTCTACAAGTTTGGCTTAAATAACAAATACACAAAATAGTTACTTTTAATTACTAAAATACAATATGACTCACTCATCTGTCACCCGTTTCACTCTCTCCTTGAACCTTTCACTCCCCGGGTAAATGTTTGTGAGATATTTGTTTTGTTTAAACCATTCTAGCCTACTTACCATTTAGAACGTGAAGAAGTACAGAAGCAGAATCTAAATTCGATGGGCTACACGTGTAGTTTCCAGAGTCTTCGGAACTGGTGTGGAATATGATCAAAGTACTGACGGTGGTATCAGTACCTTCTCTATCTAGTCGAATATCGATGGCGTTTTTGTCGTACTTCAGTACACGATCTCCATCGTGGTACCAAAATATGTAGGCTGGTTCTTCTAGGCTTTGCGTTATGACACATTTCAGTTGGACCGTGCTGCCCATTTTTACGAACATGTCTGATTCTCCTAAAATTTCGATTTTGGGCACTGAAACAAAATAGGTTCTTTTTAGGTGGAAGCAGTCAATAGCTTTTTTCGTTTTCCTGTTATTACCGATTCTGAACTGTCCTAGAACTCTGCAGCGTATGCGCAAATGAAATAATGTCTTCATATTTCCTTCTGCGCATACGCATCACAGTTCTAGGACGGTTCAGAATCGGTAATAACAGGAAAACGAAAAAAGCTAATATTGTAACGAAGAGAATTGTAACTAAGAGAATGACAGTCGGTAGTAATTTTGGAGGGGGCAAGCCCTAGAGGTCATTTACTTGGCCCGTACTCTTCTTTATTTTTTTAATGGCGCTTATTGCCAGTTGGCCTTAAGAAGGATGTGATTTATTTTTATATTGAGTAAAAATTATTTTTAAATAACTTTTAACATCACCATCGGGGTGTTTCGATTACTGGATGTCCAGCTTAAAGAGGTTGCACTGTATATAATATGTTTTTTCGCATCAAATATCTCAAACAAATATATTTTTCTTCTATATTGATTAATGAATTATATATGTTAGCCGAACTCTTTGTATTAAACTCTATTAAAGTTAGACATATTTCCTTGAAAGTTTGATTGTTACTTTATTAAGTTTTTGCTGGTTTAATTATAAATGGAGCGGCTTAAAAACTTGAAGCAAAGGATAACTTATGAAATATTCTAGTGCCTGCCTCTCTAATGTTAATTTTATCTTTAAGTCTGAATATTAGAAGATTCATTAATTATCAGATTTTATTGGGTAATAGTCATAGTTAATTTACTAGTGGCCGAGACAGTGTAAAAGTGGTTATACTAATTAAATAAAATTTATTGTAGATAATTTACCTGGCTATTTACATATATGTTACATAAAAAATACAAAAATTACCATAGGTTAAATTTAAGTAGTTGAGAGTCAAGGTTAATAGTGAGAATTTTTTGTTTCAGGAATGATTTTCTGTCTTCAAATGATTTTTCGAGATTTCAAAACCCCAATAGAGTGAAATATAGTATTGCAATCAATAGTGTTGCAGGAATATAGAGTTTCCATCAATGTTTTTGGAGTTCTGAAAAAAGGGAGCTCTGGACATCAGGATGTCGAAAAATAAATGGTGAAGTTATTTTAGGTAGGTAAAGTTTGTCTAATAAGAGAGTACCGAGTTGTCTGGTTTTTAATTAACAGGTAAAATGTATGTTCTGTTATTGTTTGGATGTCGTCTGACGATATTATTCACTAACTCGTTGGGCAAATGGACAGACTTTACTTTAAATGAAAAATTAAAGACAGTTAAAAAAGTGTTAAGTATACTCGTTTGCCTTTATAAGCAAGATTTGTACTGCATACGTTACAAATGAAATCAGAATTGGATTATCCTTTTTTAATAGAGGAAAAGAGTCTGAGCGTTTCCTAAATGACAGGAAATACAATTTACTTATGAGTTAAAATGACAGGCACAATTTTTTCGTTGTAATGGACCATTTAACAGAATTATATGCATAAAGGACACGTTAATCATGACAAAATAAAGACAAAGTAGATATTGGATTTTATATCATAGATAGATATTGGCACTTTCCAATAAAGTCGGTTTAGTAGATATGTGACATCGTAATCATTAAAATATTCATCAAAGTTAAATTGTTTTTACGGTTAAATTTGGCCAGCCCGATCACCTTAAAAACCCGGATATGTCCGGGTAAATCCGGACGTATGGAAACTTTACATTTAAAGAAATGTAACGTTCCAAATATTTGTTGCACAACGAAATGAACAGATATCAGATTATTTAGTTTATTTATAAAAGCCATTGGAAATATATTGGATTGGAATATTAACACAACACGAAAAGAAAAACGGTGTCAAAGACGGTTACGAATCGATGATAATTTTGGTAAGGTCAATCTCTAGACGTCCTTTACTAAAAATTGATATAAAATTTGTCAAAAATTAAGGTTAATTATAGAAAGACCATTTAAAAATAATTTTTGCTAAATATAAAAATAATTGCACGCTTCCTAAGACCAACAGTAAGCGCCATTAAAAAATGAATAGTATGGGCCAAGTAAATGACGTCTGAAGCTTGACCTCGCCAAAATTATCATCGGTTTTCATTTCTATACCGTTTCAGCTATACCGTTTTTTTTTGCGATCGTATGGTATCTTATTATAATTATTTTTTGAACTGACTCTTATTGAAATTGGCAATCCGTTGGTATTTCATCTCACCACTGCTACTAATGCTAATGCTAATTATTTCTTCTAGTAATATTAATTACTTACCAACAACGTTTAATGTGATGAAATGGCTCATTTTTGGCTCGGTGCTGACTTGGCACTCGTACTGTCCAGCGTCTCTGGCTTGGACGTACTTGACTTGGAGGGTCCATGTGTCCGTGGATTCGACCAAAAAAGCTTGAAATCGATCGTCAGCGATGAAGGTGTATCTATCTACAGTGAGGATGTGGGCGTCACGTTTTCGGATCCACGAGACAGATTTGTTGCCCAGCTGCTTCACTTTGCAGGGCAAATAAGCGTGGGTGCCCAGTTGCGTTGTGATGTTTGTCGTTGTTGTAGGGTCAAAGTACGGCCCTGTGTATAACCCTGTGAATCGTTTGACTGCGTGGGCCGCCTCACTTCCAGAAAACACTGAAAAGATAAAATAACTAGGTATTTACAGTTTTTCTTTTAGTTTTTTTATTTATATTTTTTATGATTACAGTTTTTCTTTTAAGTTTTTTTTTATTTATAGTTTTTTTATGTTTATAGCTAAAACCTATAAACAAAAAAAGTTCCGTAACTCAAAGGAAAAAATGGAACCCTTATAGGATCACTTTGTTGCCTGACAGTCTGTCTGTCAAGACTTTATCTCGAGAACGCGTGGAGATATCGAATTGAAGTTAAAACTATATACTCAAGTCTACAGTTCCTTGAAGCTGTAAGAAAATCAAATTTCTAAGTTAACGTAAAGAAAGATACAGGCGTTGGTGCCGCAAAGAAGGTGTATGCAAGACTTGCAAGTATCTTGCGCGAAACCAAGACCAAGCGTATCTTGGTCTTGAACTTGTATTTGCTAATTTGGTCTGCTACTTTCCTGGAATAAATAGTATAACTGCTGAAGTTTTAGTAGCTACTAACTATATTTTAGTATTAATTTGGATTAACCCCAAAATCAATAAATAAACTTTTTAAGATAATATTTTAGACCACATTTATGTTGTATTTAATTTCTTGACTTGCGCTTGATGTTCAAAAAAAACCATTAATAAATTTCAAATTTCTTGACATCTATTAATATGCTAATAGGGTTTTGATCCAGTAGACTGCGAACAATCTGTCACTGTATTGATGCCCTTTTTTCTGTTTAATAATGTTACAGAAATTCTTTGATACATTTTTAAGCGAAAGGTTATCTTTTAAAGTTTTTTGCGTAATACAATTTAAAAACAGGAAAGCTTGTTAATTTGAAACACATTCAAGTATAAAAATTATGTTAGGCTACTAAACAAAAAATAAAATAAAATACATATGAAGAATTTTATTTTACTCTAACAAATACTTATATTTTCTGTTTTGCATTTTTAATTATCAATTCAAAGATAACTTCGTTATAATTTATATGTGTGTATATTTATATACATGCGAATTTTATATGCATACGTATAATATTGTTTATTTTTCGTTTGTGAAGTTTCAGAATTTTAAATAAATATAAATATGCCCACATCTGTCCGAGAAATGGCCTATTTTTAAACAAAAACGGAAGTTAAATTGTATTCTTTGTGGGTAGCGTCTAAAATATACAGGGTGTCCCAGAAATAAGTGCAAATATTTTAACTGGTAGTATAGTTCAACCCCAGAAACACGCCTATGAGGTTTTTTTCGCAAAAAAAATGTTGAAAATTCGAAATTTTTTGAAAAATTTTTTGGAAGTTTTTAGTTAAAAAACATAATTTCTTGATAATATGGCAACATAGGTATTAGATTAAATTTACAAGAAAGAAAATCCAGAAAAGATCCAGTGGTTCTTAAAATTTTAGCAAAAAATCATGTTTTTTTTGGAAATTTTCAAAGTAAAATAACTCCGTTATTTTGAACTTTTTTGAAAAACGATAAAAAGAAAATATGTTCCTTTTATCGAGATCTATCACCTCTTAAAATATTTGCACTTATTTCTGGGACACTCTGTATACGTTTTATTTTATTTTATGCAATATCTAACTAATTTCGTAAACTTTTTTTCAATAGTGCACAAAATCTACAAGTTCGTATACTTTTTCCTATTACTGTATATTCTGAAAGAGTTTTAAATTTGCGCATTTCCGAAATTCCCAAAGGTGTCTTTTGACGGACCTTTTTTATTCGAACCGAGCCATTTTTAACATTCAATATGTTACCAGAAAATATAATACACTATATAAGTGGAAAAGTTCGAAGAAAGTTATATATTTTTTGCGTGGTTTATGCGCGAAATTTTGTGTTTGTTTTACGTTCTATTATACAATATTATTAAACGTGATATAAGACAATAGCGTGCTTCGGTGATATTAAAGTTTCCGAAAAGTTTTATCTGATTTTACGCGGAAATTATACAGGGAAATGCAACATGGCGTAAAAATGTACAAGGGAAATTTGATATTCTCGCCACATAGACTTTGAAAGGAATTTTGTAATCATTCGGAAGTGGGGATAATACTTTCTTTATACTTTAGTTATTTATTTCTTACTATTTATTATTTATGACATTTTTTTAATAACAGTTAAGCTTACCTGTAATTTATATTGTCTCTATCTTAATTTTAGGTGATCTGATTACATTTAAACTTTTGTATTATACAAAGGAAGTCAAACCCTGAACACTGGACAGCAAATTTCTATGAAACCAGCATATTAAGAACATCACCAGAAAAGCCAGAAAGGCTCTCATGATATGCAGAAAACCGGCAGGAAATATATGGGGCTGCGCTCCTAACATTTTGTGCTGGATGTATACCATGATAATAAGATCCATGATTAATTATGGAACAGTTGCTGTACTCAAGGCAAAACCTGTGCAAAGTGCACCAGACTGGCATGCTTCTGCATCACACTGCCCAACAGCAGCAATGGAGGTCATTGTAGACCTAACATAAAAGAAGCTGAACAAATTAGGCAAAGAAAACAATATCCTCCGACTCTGGGTGCCAGCCTACCAAGAGAGAGAAGGTAATGAAAAATCAGACGATCTAGCTAGAACAGGAGCGAATACTCCACTGGACCAGAACCGTTCTGAACTCAAGAACCTGGAAGACCTCATCTGTCTCCTCAATGAACACCTTAGTAGACTGAAGCCAAGAAACAACGGCGAATGCAGATTCTGTGGGGAAAATGAGGAAACACCAGAACATCTCATCATTGAGTGCACCGAGAGGATAACCATTCGTGGCATAAACTTTGGTACGACTGATATTGGCACCTCTATAAAACCGTTTCAAATACTGGCTTTTGTCAAAGCCCTGATATGATGAGTTTATAATTCAAGAAAGGGAGATACAATTGATATATAAGGTCGCGATGTTTAACTTCCCCCCTCCCGTACAATCTACATATTCTACATTAAAAAAATATGTCTAATATATTAATTCTATAATATTCCCGATTGCTACTTTTGAAATGTTCACCCTGTATTTAAAACCTTATTGATACTTGATACTTCTGCATCGTCTTGGTATTATTATTTCTTGTTTCATGTTCCTTTGAAACATATACATTTTTGAGGACTAATATTTTTAGATAGCAGAAGGAAAACATTTTTCGCCGCAAGTTACTTGCTTTGAGTCAAACTTTTCTTATTCTCAAGATATTCGATTACAGTTGCATTTTAAAAATAACAAGTACTGTTTTGATAATTGGGTAAACATGCTTGCTATAGGTAGAAAAATATTTCTACGATACTGTTGTTAAATCCTATAAAGGTTTTTGATATATAGGTGAATGTTCTTGAAAGTATATTTGACATATTGACATCTACCATTAAAATTGATATCAGAAATCTACCTATGTAGAATTTAACGTTGATTGGAAATTGTGGCTTATTAATTCTGCAAAATACGAGAGTATAGTGGCTTAGAAATACATCGATGAAATGTTGTGTGTGTGTTTCTGTTTACATTAGCCCCAATATGCGGTATGTATGTTCAAGATGCATACACAAATACGACATTGGAAGTAACTTATTGACATAAATGGTCGAAGAATGGGGAATAATCATCGCAGGATTAATTAATATGCAGATAGATTTTGTGATTACGTAAATTAAAAAATTAACGAGCTTGTTCAATCTGACGCTTCTTGGCTAGGTCGCGCATTTTACTATCAATATTCTAAGCTGGATTTGATATGTCGTATACGGGGAAAAGTGTTCTATAACTCTGTTTTTAGTTAAAATATACAAACATGTTGAATTAATATCTATAAATAAAAATGAGATGAAGTTTGTTAGTCGAGGACCGATTTGGGTAATTTTGGCCTTAAAATATTTGTAGAAGCCAAAGGAAGGATTAAGTGGTGAGAAAATATTAAGAAATTGGAAGAAGAATAGTAACAAAATAGAAAATAAATTTGACGTTTACCAACTGTAACAAAGTTACAAATTTAAAAAGTGGCGGTGGTCGTGTGGTCTAAGGCAAGCGGTTTGCAATTGAATATTGCAAAATCTAAAACTTTTTTTGATGTTACGCGCGCTGTGTGTAAAAATTCAAGGCCGTGACACGACAGACGAGACTACACGCGGCACGATAAATGGGAGGATGTTGATTGGACCAAGGCCAACTTGACCGTGTACGACACGTGTCACTGTGACAGTTAGTTTTGACGTAATAAACGTCAAAAGTTGATGTCGTCCAATCGCGACCAAATTTGGTGGGTAGGCTATGTGAGCGACGTTGCACACGGTCCCACCCTGCAAAGTTGGATACGACGTTTCGTTTGTATCTTCATCAGGGTGGGAGTAAGGATTTTATATTAAAGAAAAATACGGGTCGGTTTCGGCCGATGCCTCTAAATGGGCGAAATCATCAGGATATTTCTTAATTATGGGTCGATTGGAACCAAACTAGGCGCGTGGATAGAGAATCCTCACACGGACAGACGGTTATTTTAATACAAATTTTGTAAAAGTTAATCAAATTATTTATTAATTTTTAATTTATTACTTTTTCCATATTTCAAACTACACATTTTCCAACATTTTCACTTCAAATATGCGCACATAGTGCACATACAATTTTTTAAAAAATATATTTGGATATAACATTTCCTCTTCAAGATTTTTCAACAAATAAATTATGATTTTACGAAGCAATTAAGTCGTGTTAATTACACCAGTCATAACTCAAGAACAACTGGACCGATTTTAATGATCCCTGTTTTGTTGGATTCGTCTCCTCTCCGTATAGCAGAATAACTATTAAAATGTTCAAAAATTCACGGAATAAATTTTTTATAGAAAATGTATTTTTTAATAAATTTGGTTTCAAACCTTCCGCAATTGACAGCTCATGTTACACATCGTTACAGCTTATTTGTAATAATTGATGTCTAAAAAATACGTGACATACTATGGGTCGGCATTTCTGGTGTTGGGTGCCGGTTTTCATGTGTACGAAGAG